CCCCAAAACCCCAAAACCCCAAAACCCCTTAAATCAGGATAAAAGTTTTGATCAATATTATTATTTTTGAAATGAACTCTGAATATTTATTAAAAATTGGAACTGGAATAGTGGTTGTTGTTGGTTCAATAACTGCATTAGCATTAACTACTCTTTATTTGGGATAAAACAAGATCATATATCACCCTAAAATGCCTGTGCAATTCCCAAGAGAAAATGGACATGGTTTTAGAACTCCGAGAGAGAGGAATATGCCATATATAGAAATCAATACAAAAACTGATGATAATGTTACTCTGAGAGGGTAGGTAATTTTATTCTAAATTCAAATAAATAGATGGTTTATTCATTAAGAAAAAGATCACTAGAAATGTAAAACAATTATATTTATGCATGAGAACGCTGGAAGTAAATTAAAGGATCATTTATGCTTTTTAAATAGACATTGGATAGAGACTGATGTATTTTCAATGGCTATATCATAATCTAAATGTTAACATTGTGGTATTTGCATATAGAGGATATTCTGATAGTGAGGGTCATCCAGTTGAAGACGGTATTAAATTAGATGCTAAGGTAAAATTTCAATTAATCTAATGAGTGTTATAGGCAATAGTTGAATTTGTGAAATAAAAAGAAGATATTGACTAAGATTAGGTTTATTTATTAGGAAGATCTTTAGGAGGAGCTGTTGGAATTTATGCTGCTACTTTGTATCCTAAATATTTTAGAGGACTTATTTTTGAAAATACCTTTACTTCAATGGGAGCAATGGTAGACCATTTATTCAAATTCTTTGGATTCTTTAAATACCTTATTCTTCGCAACAAATGGAATTCAATTGATCTTGTTTCAAGCATAAAAGCCCCTATTTTATTCATTACTGGAGACAAAGATGAATTAGTCCCATATCAAATGACTTTATAATTGCATGATAACTCGAAAGATAGTGTTCTCAAAAAAATAGTATGTCAATTAATACTTATAATTTATTTATAGTTTATTGTTAAGGATGGTACACACAATGATTCATGGTATGTCGGAGGAAAATCTTACTTGGAAGAATTAAATGATTTTTTGAATGAAGCACAAGCTTTTGATTACCACAAATTGTGATTGCTTATTCAAATACCAAAAATATTTGTTTAGATTTATTGATGGAAATTTTATAATCTTTGGCAATATGGGGTTTTGGGGTTTTGGGGTTTTGGGG